GCTCCTTTTTGAGTACCTGTCTGGACTCTGATCATGCTTTGGTCTGCGCCAATCTTACCTTACTTTTCAGTGGCCAACGAAGTGACCGCCATCAACGGATTGATGTTAGCAAGCTGGTTGCAACTTCTGTTGCAAGTAAGTATCGAACCGAGCTAGCCTCTAGGCTAGCTACCACTCCACCGAAAAGTATAGATGAGCAATGGTTGCAGTTGCATGACGCCATGAAAATGGTGGGTACAGTCAGTTGTGGGTTTGCGAAATGTCCCGCTTATAAGCACTGGGTTTCTGCAGGTTCCTTACAACTCATCGAAGCCCGTCGGTCTACTCCGGGTGACCGTGCGTTTGACCACAAACGACGACTGTTACGTAAGGAAATCGGGCAAAGCTTGCGTAAGGACCGAAAAGCCTGGTGGTCGGAGCGTGCTAATGAGCTGGAAACAGCAGTTGCATCTGGTAACTACCGGAAGCTCTTCCAACTCATCCAAGCCACTGGCAACACGAAGTCTGGTGTGAGTGAAACAATCTGCGAGGATGATGGGATGCCAATCACTAACATCCATCGACGTCTTGGACGATGGGCAGAATTCTTCGAAGGGCAGTTCAACTGGCCTGTTGCTCCGGCAACATCGGTCAGATTGTCCTGCCCTCCATGGCCGGTGACGACTGATCCACCAAACGAGGAGGAAGTCCGCAAGGAACTCCAACTCTTAGAAGCGTTACAAATCACCTGGCCCAGATGACTTACCTCCGGCTCTTTTTAAAGATGGTGGTGACTTTCTGACTAAGGAATTGACGACGTTGTTTACAAAGAGTTGGGAACTAGAGAGTGTACCGACGTCATGGAATGAGTCGATAGTTGTCCCTATCTTTAAAAAGGGTTCACGTCGTTCCTGTAACAACTATCGGGAGATAAGTCTACTTCCGATTGCGTCCAAGTTATTGGATTCCGTCATACTTCGTAGGTTGTTCAAAACCCGAGAAAGATTGACTCGCGAGGAGCAGGCTGGGTTTCGTTCTGGTCGAGGATGTATTGATCATATCTTCACCCTCCGCCAAATGTTAGAACACCACCATACTTATCAAAGGCCAACAATCGTAGTGTTTCTTGACATCAGGGCTGCCTTCGATTCGTTGGACAGGGCTGTTCTCTGGGATTTTCTATTGAAGAAGGGTGTGCCTGAGAAGTTTATTAACATCCTAAAAGCCCTATATACAAACACCTCAGGCAGAGTGAGGGCATACAACCACCTTTCTCCATTGTCCCATTCGAGCAGTGGAGTTAGGCAGGGTTGCCCAATCTCACGATTCCTCTTCAACTTCGCCATCGACGACACTCTGGAAACAGTTCTGATGGATGTAGGCAATTGCGGTGTGAATCTGTTGCCTGAAGAAAGACTTCTCGACCTTGAGTGTGCGGACGATATTGTCTTACTGTGTGATAGTGCCCAAGCCATGCAATCCACACTTAATCAGTTGGTAATCAGTGTCCGTAGGTACGGTACGGGCTTTGCAGCTCCGAAGTGCAAAGTACTTCTACAGGACTGGCAGGATTCCAATCCTGTACTCACCCTGGATGGTGAGCAGATAGACGTAGTCGAGAAGTTCGTGTATCTGGGTAGCTGCATAAGTGCTGGTGGTGGCGTGAGTGATGAGATCAATGCACGTATAGTAAAAGCCAGAGATGCTTATGCCAATCTTGGCCATCTTTGGCGCCTTCGTGATGTCAGTCTGGCTGTAAAAGGTCCGAACTACAACGCGTCAGTGAGAGCAGTTTTGCTCTATGCTTGTGAAACCTGATCTCTCCGAGTTGAGGATGTTAAACGACTCTCTGTGTTCGATCATCGTTGTCTCCGAAGGATTGCTGACATTCCATGGCAACACCATGTTAGTAATGCAGAGGTTCGGCATCGTGTGTTCGGACATAGAGACGATAATCCGATTAGTGTCACCATCTTGAAACACCGACTTCGGTGGCTTGGACATGTTCTACGAATGTCGTCTCAGGGAATTCCACGTCGTTCATTATTTGCGGACTCTGGGACTGGTTGTAAAAAGCGGAGAGGTGGTCAGTGTAAGACATGGTGTCGTCGTATGAAAAAAAGCTGCAAAGGGCTGGCTTGTGTTGGTCCTTCACGACTCCCTGGCTGGGGTCCGAGAGATGATGCAACACAGTGGCTATAGACGTTATCAGATATGGCTCAGAATAGAAGCCAGTGGCGATTCTGCTGTAATCTTCTTTTACTTTCTTCATAAAAAGTGGTTGTGTCTCCCTTACCTGAAAGATTTCTTCTGATTGTACCTTTCCGTTCCCTCATTACTACCACACTACCTTACACCAATCTCTTCATTAGTGTTCTCTTTTTTTTGCGCTTCTTAGCTTTTTTTTCTATTCCTCTTCGAATTCTCATTGTTTTGTGTGGCGCATATACATTGGCGCTCTCTTGTACCAATATTCATGTGTTCAAATAAGTAAATAAAATCTTACTTTCGCTACCCACCACTGTTCACGATCACTGCGTAGTTTTCTTATCAACCTTCGCTTAAGCTGCTTCCGCTCTTCGTTATGTTCAGAGCGAGATGGAGTGAGCTTCCGATCATCCATCAGCACGGTAGATGCTGCTGAGATCCAGTGTTTCTCCCTAAGCGTATGGTTTACCGTACTAGCAGATATCACTGCTGTTTCCACAGCTTTTCGGATATCATTCCATGCTGCATCGGGGTGGGCATCACATACATGGCTGCCTAACTGTTTTCCTAGTTGTTCCTGAAATATACTCTTAGCTTGACTATCATTAAGTAGGCCGCTAAAAGGTTTTTTTGCAGCGTCTTTCCTACGTCCAGTAAGACGCAAGCAAATACGCGCTCGCACTAGAGCATGATCTGAATCTAGGCATGTGCTCCAGAATGAGCGACAGTCTTCTATCGAGCCCCTCCATCGGTGGCTGATAGCGATGTGATCTATTTGGGTCCAACGTTGGGACGAATTAGGGGGTCGCCATGTTAAAAGATGTTTTTCCTTATGCTTAAAGTTAGTATTTGCAAGGAACAGGCGGTTATCTGAGCATAGCTGCAACAGACGGTCGCCATTATCTGTTCTTTGAGCCGCAGCACCATACGATCCACCCAGGTGTCTTTCCCTTTCGCTTGGTTTTCCTACTTGAGCATTAAAGTCACCAGCCACTTACTATCATCCGAGCGCTTAGCTTTTCGGAGAAGGTCCGAAAGCTTTCTGTAAAACTCATCTTTTACAGCATCTGAGCTGCAGTCAGTGGGAGAATAGGCAGAGACGACGAAGAGGCAACGACGAGTGTTCCTATCCTTCTGAGTCCTTATTTTTCCGTTTAGTCGAACAGCGCACAAGTGACTGTTTACTGGAATCCAGTCTAAGAGAGCTTGTTCTGCCCTAGGACTCAATGCTATACCTACGCCGGCGAGGCCATGGGAAGCAGCATCATGGCTTCCAGATAAACGAAGCGTCAATCGAGTTGGTTCTTTATTTTGGCATGGTGAGGTCAAATGAATGACGCTACTCGGATCCTGTATGCGCGTTTCAGAGACGCAGCACACATCGATGGCGCGAGATTCTAAAGTTTTAGCTAAGGAAGCCTGCTGTCCTATTTGGCAAAGTGTTCGTACGTTAAAAGCTCCTACGTGTAGTTTAGAGCGTGGTTTCAGGAGACCAGGAATGGCGTTCCACGTACTCGAATCGTTTGCACTAGCGGTGCGAGGTGATAAAGGGACGAGAAGGATTATTCGTGGAGATAGAGTTATTAGGAGGTGTAGGAAGGATTTGAATGTGACCACCTTGGTCTCGTGTGTTGTTACGGGTATGAGGGCTGATGTCACTTCACGGCTTCCCACACCGTGGAAGGGTATTTCTTAAGGAAACACCTGAAAGAAAAGTTGGGTTAGTGTTGGTCTTGACGACCTGGGGGCGTAACCACAGGGCCCAAGGGACAACTGCTTGAGGCCGATTGCGCGCGGCCTTTTTGTGGAAGGTTTTTGACGTGTTAGCTCCGTTCTTCAAAGGGCCTTACCTCCGGAGACGGAGACCCGTGAGGTAAGGTGAGGCGTGACATTTTTATGGCCGACCTTTTCTAACCCCTTCCTTCCTCATGGGAAGGCAGCATCGCTGCAGATACTGGTTGCTCGAGGGGAACATCTTACTGCTGTCACACCCCTCTGCAGTCAGCAGTACGACTTCGCCCTCAGACCTTGAGTTGCTGCTTGTAGTCTAACCGTTCTCCAATCGACCTGCCTGGCATGGTAGAACCTACAGGAACATATGTTCCAGCCAATATAGCTCGGTTGGGTCATCACGATGGGCAATCTCGACCACCACGTCAAGGTAGCAGCTACCGTCGGGAGTACTAAATAGCAAAGATATCGAACGGTTGTTGGTCTGTGTCATGAATTAACTGAACGTGAAGATGTAATTGTTTAGACTCCAGCTTAGTGATTTAAAAGTAACGTGGTCGCTGCTGCAGTACAAGTTTATTTGCTTGACCCATTCATAAGACTAAATAACTGCTTAGTACCTTTTTGATTTTCGGTGATTCTTTAGTTGATATCTACGTGTAACAAAAAATCATCCTTAATAAGACTGAACAGAGCCAGCAAGTAAATAGTCGTAAGGTTATTCTGAATTCCTTGATTATGAATGGTAAATGCTTGTGATGGCACACAAACTTCACTTTTTAATGAAGCCTTAAATACATTGTGACAAATATTCAATTTTTGTCACGCATCTGCTAGTTTTTTGTTACCACTAGCCAGAAATATGTTCTACATAGGCCTTTAAATCCAGTAGAAACGTCTTAGTAAATTAGTTATCTTTCGTATCTTCACAGCATTTTAATTCATGTTCTTCGTAAGAAATATTAACTAAAGATCGAGTTCAGTACTTTTAAGGAAACTTTTTTTCTGCTAGTCTCATTTTTTGTGTTTTTCGCAATTCTCTACAAATTTTAAAATGATGTTTTCTTTCCTACTAACTTAAGACTTTTGTCGAGTTTGCCGATGTGAGGGGACTGCTTCGAAACCTCTATTTCATCCTTGTTTGTGCACTGGGAGTATTAAATATATTCATCAAGATTGGTAGGTTTGTAGACATTGTCTGTGAGTTTCTTCTAACGGTAATGCTGTTTTGTTCATCCACTAAAGCAGACCTTTCAAATAAGCAATGATTTATCATGACATTAACTCAATAATAAAACTGATAGTTTAGATATGTGGACAAAACTCACAACAATTAAATCACTTGCTCCAAAATGTTTCTTTTCTTTCTATCTGGGACGTCAAGTAGTGTCGTTGGTGCATAGAAATATACATGACAAGTAGCGATCTAGATTATTGACTACTTTAATATGATAGTCTTTCAGTTTGACTTCCGACTATGTTCTGAAAAGTTCAGTCGTTTACTATATCTGCATGTTATTCTATCGTATTTACTCAGCATAAAACTCGTTTCAGGTTATTTTTTAAAGTGTAATCAATCATCACTGTAAAGGGAACCTGTTTATGAAGAGTTGTACTTTCTCACAAAATATATATCCTTCGTGGTAGTAGCCCAGGCTTGCTTATATCTGGTCGTCTCTGATTGCTGTGTTGGAAAAACGCTGATCACTTATACTTGGAACGAGGGACCTCTGAGATTCCCACGACCCAAAAGGAAGAACACTAAGACTGGTATAAATGAAGATTTATTAGCCCTAAAACACTATGACGACGATGACCCTAGTCTAAAATACACTCATTTATATATTGATTGTACACCCATTTTTGATTAATAATTAGGATGAAATCACACATATGAAAAATACATAAAGTTATACATAAAGCATAGTTCATGTCAATGGAATACACGAATATCATATGTTTTGCAGAATAAAATATACAAGACAATAAAACAAATACTACATTGAGTAATCATTACATTGAATCAAAACAGAAGTAGTCTTGGACAAAACTCATAATGAGTAAATCAATCGAAAATTGACTTTTCTTTCCATCATATCAGGCAGTCAGTTCGGTCAAGAGTTTTGAAGACATATTGTAGAGTACTTGCGTGCAGTCACACTTGGATTGTATTAAGTACTGCGTTAATATTTTCAAGTTGCATACCAAAGAGTACCTCATAACAATACGTAACTATCTAGCTGTGTATCCTTGATCAACCACTCTGACCGTTCCGATTTGTCATCCAAATAACTAAATATCAGTTTTATATTCAGCTAAAATGATCAAAACACAGATTTGTGAGTATTATAACTGAATCTTATTTGATAACCATGCTGCTTATTCGTATGAGGGTAAATAAATAGTTTTGATATACAACTAATTCAAGTTCATTTAGTCGTTTTTACTTCACTCTGTTGCTTATATTTCACTCGTGAAAATCATGAGTGGACCGATAACTCAGTGGTTAAAGCGTTCGAATTTCAGCCACTAACTCACGGGTTTGTAACCTGCTCCACTTTCGGTCTAGACCGCCAGGTAATGTCACAAACCCTCACACTTATGTGACCCAAAACCAAGAATATGAATCTGTATCTGATGAACTAGTTAATAATAAAAATAGAAAGATAGTTATTAGTACATTTTATAATTCCTATAATTTTTTAGCCTCATTCGTTGGCTTGAGTATAGTAAAAGAAATACTTGTGAATTATGTAATCATCGGTTTGCTTTCACTCGAATTTATGCATCTGACACTCCACGATTTCTGCCGCTCACCGTGTTGGCTGTGGGACTGGCCAACAGCTTGCGTCGATTTGTACTAAACTGGATTCACTTGTCGATTGTCTTCACTGCATGGTTGGTTGTAGTTCCTTTATCTGCCTGTCGCATGTACCGTTGTCTTTTTACTGGTAGCGTTTTCTCACTCCTCACACTTCCATTAGACATGGTTTCCACAAAACACTTGTTACAAGATTGTGTTCAGGTAGGTTCGAATTAATTGTTTACTTAGATATTTAGCTTCTATATTTTATATTTTTTATGCACCCCGTTATTTGTTGCACACTCTTTAAAACTGAAATCCGATCTATGGAGTCTTTTAAGCATCTTTTAGCAATGACCGTTAAAAAATAATTTGGCTGGACGTTGCTAAAAAATAAAACCGTTTAGTTAAACAGCAAGTGTAGATTTTCATATCGAGTTTCACAGTCAAGAATGCTGGTGGTGGTCGTATATAGCCACGACCTGGATGCTGTTGTTTAATATGCTTACTGTAACGGCCTGATGGATCCATACTGACTGAATAACTAGTTTCTCGAGGTTCTATCATGCTAAATGAACCACTTCAAAAACCATGAAACTAAATTTGGCACATTTAAAGTTATGTGACAACACTATACTGCTAACTGCTTCGCGGTAAGATGTTCCATAAATAACCAAAGTCGTCAGCGATTCTGGTTTCCCACGTTGGTAATTAGCATTAGGAAAAATGGGTCCTAAAAATATCCCACCCTCTGCCTCACAGATTTCCAGTCTCAGTCATAACTGTTGAAAAGTATGTAATTAATTCAACATAAAGAATCACTCATACGAAGAGTGTAATCAACCTCAAACGAATGTTCCTGGAGCCAGTATACTTTCAACAATAATAAAGTTTATTTAGAAATCTTTAAACTGAATCTTCTTTCAGAGCATGAATTGCCAATATGTGTTAACCCCTTATACTCTTCAACAGTACTTGTTTTCAACTAGTTCGCTAGTAAACCCCTTCCTCCGCTCCATAATCATCTATTCCCGTCGCTAATCCTTCTCTGATTTTATATTTTTCCATATATCGTAATATTTTTAACAGACAACTTTAACATTCAAATGGGTAGTCCACGTCATACTGTAAAACATCCACATGGGTCTTCCTGCGTCCTGTTTCATAGAACAGATAACGATGACCGCCTTCTAATTCTGTACTCAGAAAATCGTCTATTCTTAACCATTGTCTACTCTTGGGATAAAAAAGATCGTAAGATCTGACAACTTTTAGAAACCTAATGATGAGCGGATATTATTATTATCATCATCAGCTTTATTCAATACTATATTTTTGGAACAATATAGAATTCTCAGCGTAAAGTATTTCAACAAGTTTCCATTTCTTTCTTCTTGGTCGGTCCTGGCGATAAATATTGAGTGATCGCCACTTAGATTTTAGCAGTTCACTGAATGAACATCTGAATAATGTGCATTCTTTTCGTTGTATATTGCCAGCAACCACATTGTATCTTATTGAATTTTTTGTAACTTTGACAGCGAAAGGTTGTACACTTTTCAGAAACGCAGCAGAATAGGTCATGCGATTAATAAACATAATGATATATTAAAACAAACAAAAATAGATAACTTGTCGAAATATCTAGATGGCAGAAACAAGTAGCCCAGATGCTCAAGCAGGCCGCTGTTAAAAAGGAAATTTATGGTTCTTAATCACATATGCAGACTCTAATGTGAGTGCGCGTTTGTCAACATTTTATTAGGCTCAGAGTAATTTCAACGGGAAGTTGGAGAGCTCAGTTCGAAGATGTAAGGTGAAAATAAACTGGTATTTAATCGACCATGAAAGAGATGTTGATATCGAAGTATCATGACATAGTTAAATCTACAGCTAAGGAACGAAGTTGCCGTACTTTAATAGCATTAGAAACATCAATTACATGACTTTCGAAATTTATAGCCAGGTATCCCTTGTCTAATCAGCGTGAATGTGAAGACATAGAAGACATTAAGTTTTAGAATAACTGTATCACTCGTCAAAATTGATACAAGTTTTCATAAATCAACCATTCTTTGGTTTAAAACCGTTTAGGCACCGGGATTTTCAACCTAGACGAGTTGTTGAGTTCGTTAATTATCGATATTAATTTAAGAGAAGACATGAGTCGTATAGAAATGAGACGGAAAAGAGACTGAAAGCAACATAAAATATGATAAGATAATCTTAGTTTTTGTAATTTCCAAGGTTTAGCATTTTAAGTGTGTGAATGGTATTCGTTTTTATGCTAGTGATTATCATTTACTGATTGAGGACTATAATACTATCCTAAGAGAAACAAGTGGAAATCATTTCTAATTTTTTTATTTAATTCACATAAGGATGTATCTCCATGATGATTAGTCAATGAACTGCGTTCATACACCATTCTTTTCCCCAGGGCAGGGCCTATGTACATTTTTGGTTTGCAGTTAGCATTCTAAACCCCTCTACCTATACCAGCTTTAAACATCTATCGACAAGTTAAAGATTTGAACATCCACTCTCATTTCCTTACTCTCTGTCTCCACACAATTTTTAATTGAACAAAGTCAATCTTAACTAACATTAAATGTCACAGTATTGCCGGATGCAAACTTGTCTTTTTCTATTGATCTATTCATATCATTCCTTCTTTTCTATGTCCTTCAAAATATTCTCATTTTTGTTTTACGCGGTGAATTTTCTGAAATATTTCTTTTATACTATTAAGTTTCCTCTGCATTTATTTCTGCTATACGTAAATAAATAGATTTGAGAATATATATATATATTCAATAAATTACAGTGGTATAATATCTTACTTAATTTATTCATCTTAGGGTTTCATTATTGTAATCTTTGCATTGGCCGCATTTTTGGGTTATGTTTCATTGCGAGAACAACTTCTCCAAGGAACACCAGCATGGTTGGAACGTGATGCTCATGCAGGTATTTTCATTTTGTATTTTGTATCGTTTAGATGGAATTCAGTTTAATTTATCTCTATACAGTATTATTCTTCTCAAAATGGTTAAGGATGGATTTATTTTATTAAATCAGAATATAGGAATATTGCACTGTTACACTACCGTGGTTTTCTACAAACATGTCTAGCACTATTATAATGTTTGTGTATACTCATCGAAGTGCTTTAACAATTCAGTATTTTCAAAATACGTAAAAATTTTGTACCATTCGGCAACATAAAAGATCATTCACCACTTAATTTTATGCGTTATGAATTCAAAGTGGTTTGGAAGTGAAAGAGAGAGTTAAGGTAAATAATCAGTTTTGAAAATCACTTCGTTACAAACCGAAGGGATTACTATAATCCATAATTAGCTGTATGATGTGGAAAACATAAAGGACAATAAATATGGACATCATCTCATATCTACGTTTAAAATGTGGAACGCATGAATGGACAAAGCTGAATTTAGACAGGTTAGTAAGCAAAGATTCCGAATCGGTTGATATAGTTGTGAATCTTCATCGTATGCCTAAATATCGCCTAATTTGATGCAACTTTTTAGCTGGCGTAGGAGTGGGTTAAAAGAAAATTAAGGGTGCCTAAATCAGGAATTGGCATCAGTCCATGAAGTCACTGACTATTTGTCTAAGTCATTTTTGTCGATTCAAACTACCTGGTTGAAGTCGTCATTAGAACTATCATCAGTAGAAACAAACGGACGGTATGTTTTAGAGTCAGTTTCAGTGGTACAGATGCATTCACTGTTTATCTTCCTCTTTATTTTAAATCCGAGTTTTCCTACATACATACCTTTTCATTCTGTCTTTTAAGACCATATTCTCAATTTTCAGTCTTTCTCATTGTCATTGCTATCAGATTATTTAAATCTCTTACTATTCATCTTGTTCTTTTCACCTCGTTGTGTGAATGTATTCTGGCAACAAGAGCTAACGCTTATTTGTGCCAGGCTTCAAGTTGACTATGACTGATTGAATTACTGCACTAAAGATAAATATTTACTAAGGTGAAGTGCTTTAGTCGCAGTATATTTTAGATAAGAACTAATTAGCGTTATATTACTTTGATCCGACAATCAAAGTCATTTAAGAAAAATATATTCTCTAGAAAGTTTGTTAAGTTTTTTTCCATCCACATAGTTCCCTTTATTATTTTAAAGAGAGCAAGAACAAAGATTGGTGCAGAATAATATGAACTCATTTTATTTTGTTAGGTTCTCATCAGCAGCTCTCTTTAAGTTTTTTTTATTCACAACCAAATGATTTATCCAAGTTAATTTTAAAAAGCCTATAGTATAGTTATTTTACGTCTAACTCGTTTTTACTCTTAACACAAAATGTTACTAAAGAGTACATTATGTTTTAAAAAAAAGTAAATTGAGGCTTATTAGTACAAACAACCTCAACTCACTAATGGATTTTAGCAACTTGAACCGACCTACGTACGTACGAAGTTCTACGTTGTGACTGACTGACCTGTACATTAGTAAACTAACTATCTACATGAAAGAAAGTTTAGCGTCACTGGATTTTCCATAATTAAAACTGGTCAGTAACTTTGCAATTTTTTTATTATGTACAAGCATATATACAAGAATTCTTCATAACATAACAGCCTTATAATAAGAAATAAACCACTATATGGTATGTACTACTTGTACGGACTGCTGTAAGTAGTATATATCAGGAATTGGGAGTAAAATTCTTGTAGACAGAAGAGGAAAATAAAGAGAAATGAAGGAAAAGCAGAATCAGTTCGAGTAGCGACAGTAGTGAAAGAACTATGGAACTTATAAGTGACAATTCAAGGAAAATGTCCAAATGATGTATTCAATGTCGTTTTCATATTTTACGAAGTACGTAATTTTGCTTAATAATATAAATTGCTTTACTCTAACCTAGTCTTCATTCAGTACAAGCATACAACTTTTTTATTAGCTAGTATTTTATCTTCAGTAGACAAGTTTTATGTGAAGTTACATTTCAAACATATATCAGATAATCCAAGCTGAACAACCACTGAAAATTTAGAATTATAAAACTATGTAGAGATTCGTTTTGAAAAAAATTTTAGACATTCAATATTTGTTTAGGTATTTTGTCAAAAATTTAAATGTAAATTTCTTCTGTGTTTCGATCACGAATTTATTTGTGAATTCCAGAAGCTCGTGGTGCTGATCCTCCCCATCCTCCTCGTCCTGCCGCTGGGGTCAATGGTAGGCGACCTCTATTTCCGGATATTTTCAATATTTTTGGTGTTGCAAATGGTGGTGGTTTAGGTGCTGCAGTTTTCGGTGAAGGCAACGAAGATCCTGTTGAACCTGAAATATTTAACAATGATGAACAGCATCATCAGACTGTTCAACAAGAATTAGTGAATTCTGAACATATCACGTGTTCCTCTCTAAATCAACAACAACCGGTGATTAACAGTGGTATCTCAGAAACGTTAGAGCCTTCACATGAATCGGCAGATACTGTAAATCGTGGATCATCATCTAATCCACAACAATTGGCTTGGTATATGGAAAATACAGGAGTTAATTTAGAGGGGGATATTCCTGACGAAGATGGTAGAGCCAATAACGATCCAGCAGATGCAGATGGTGCGCCAGAAGCTATGAATTGGAAACATTTATTGGGTCTAGATGGATCTTTAAATTTTCTGGAACACGTTTTGTGGCTTATTGCTTTAAATACTTTGTTTATTGTCATATTTGGTAAGTTTCGTGGTGTAGTAAAAGTATAATCTAGGGTGTTTGTAGTCAACGTGATTTGTATTTGCACCGCTAATATTTTACCTACTAGTAGTATATCAATTAGATTTTCGTTGATTGGGATCTAATGTCAAGCAATTTTTGATGCTTACAGTAAAGCTATACAGAAAGAATGGTGTTAAATGCGTTTATTGGGTTTATACACTGTAACTACACAAAGCATGTCAAATAAAACTTGATTTGTAATGGAAAATGAAATTCAACTATATGTCCTCTATATACATGTTATAAAGTAACTACTACGAATATCTAATCAAATACATGATAACAACAACTAAATAGTTCACATAATGTTGTGGCACTAATATAGCCCTTAAGTTGATCTCATTAATGAGATAGTAATTTGTAGCTCAGGTGGATGATTTAGGTGAATTTTTGTTCGCTGCGCTGGATGATTTGGTTGTAGAGCTTTCATTGTTCCTCTGAACAACATCAGCGCAAACTTCAAGTAGAAGTGAAGTGTTCAAATTTCTCCATATATGACCCATAGCCTGTCCTGTGTACCTCGTTCTTGATTGGTCAACAATAACAAATCAAGACCGAGGTTTACAGGACAAGCGGTGAGTCATATGTGGAGAAATTTGAACACTTCACTTTTACCTGAAGTTTTTACTGATGTTGTTCAGAAGAATAATGAAAGCTCCACGACTAAACCATCCAGCTCAGTGAACGAAACTCCACCTAAATCCTTACATTGTGCTTAGGCTAACTGTACTGAGCAACAGTGGTAAATAAGAGCTGAATATAAAATATACTGAAAGAATTTATTTTTCAGCACTTATATATTAGCAGATAAATAAGTGATTAGATGAAGTGTCGGAGTTGATAACACTCTAACTTCGAGAAAGTTAATAATTACTCAATTCAAGTTGCCAGATAATCAGGACAGCGAGATGTAATCATCATGACAAATTTCAATGTAGTAGAAGTGGTAACAATATCGGTAGTAGTAGAAAACATTCGGCACGGACAATATAATCCAAAATGAGTTCGCGGAATAAAATGTATGAAATTTTGAAACCCATGTTATAAAAGAAGACAAAGAGCGAATTCTGTGTCATCGTGAAGGATTATGAGCCATATCACCCAATGAATAATACGCTATTACTAATGGAAGGAAATTTTAAGATTGAAACAGTTCAAGTTTAAACAATTATTTGTTTCTGCTCGTTTATCTGCTTTCGTATTAAAATGAAACATTTTGTACTATGATTATTAATGCTGAGGTCATTAATGCAACCTATGCGTCAGTATTCTAACCCTGATGAGATGTCTAATGTAGGTAAAGTAGTCAGTTTGTGTTCGAAACTAGGTTACTTGTTCTCAATGAAAATGAAGGGTCTGTTGTATGTCCCACTTCATCAAATAAAATGTAATTGTGACTGTGTTATAACTTGTGGCCTGTGTGCCCTGTTAATGTATAGCGTAATGATACCGCCTATTAGAGAGCAGTGACTTATCGATCGAACCAGTGAGGCATAAAACACGTACGAGCAGTCTAGAGTACCTATCGATCCTGATTCCTGCCTAACCCAGCCAGTGAAGTCGAGAACACCAATCTCAGCCTCTGAAATATGAATCACTTATTTCAAGCATACGGGGTTTATATACCAATCAGACAGACCACATCGTACCATAAAATAGAAAACAACATTTGTAGAAGTTTTGGTCAAATGTGGCTGTGAATGTGGGAGGTAGTAATTAATAGACAGGACATAATTCAAGAATGGTAAATCGTATAATAATAGTTCATAGTTCAAAATAAAGCTCATAATAAAAGGGACATGAATATGTATAGTTTAGTTATTTAACAATTATACGATAAAAATATACGCATAGTATTGGTCCATAAATGGATCCCAAAAGTTACCATTCATTGTGCTTATCGGGGCATTACAAGCTGTAACACCACTTTCTGCATACTTTTGAATTTGATCTACAAAATTCCAGCTTTACCAACTGCATTTCTGGTCATTAATGTTTGAGGATAACCATCCTTTTTTAATGTTCAACAAAAGTGTTATATCTAGTGCTGCACATAAGAGCATAATTTCCATTCAGGATTTCATTTTAACTACCTGAAGCTATCTGCATGTTTTCTACAAACAAGCGATTGTATCATCCAAATTTTCCGGATGAAAAAAGCAAATAAAATGAAAGTTAGAACTTGAAATGAAATTCCCAGGGAAAAATATGCTTTTGCATGAAGCACTCACCCATTAAACGAATGGAAAATGTTTAATACCGCACACATATTGAGCATTGAAAAACTAAGCGTTACAAGTCCACAGACACGTATCATATTCCTTCATTGATGATAACTTTTGCTTAAGTTTTAATGACATTTATTAGCCAAGCTTTGTATATTTTTCATGTCACTGATTCACATATACTAAATTCATGATTGTTTTTTATCATGACCATCGTGTAACTTGATTTTTTACCGGTTCTTTAATATCGTCATATGTGTACGCTTGATTTCCTCTTTTATTCTTCACTAACTGCATCATTTATCTATTTCATTTATAGCCTTTTGTCCATATCATATGGGTCAGTTTACTGTGTTGGGATTCAATTTGGAGCGTTTTGTAAGTGAATAGTTTTTTCCCTGTTTTGTTGTTAAAGCCAATCACAACTTATTATTATCAATTATCAACAAATATTTTAATTTATATGTAGATTAATGCAACTCACATGGAAGGGTTTAGTACAAGTTTAATTGGTTACATTATTTTCGCTTTTGCTTTGATTCTTATGCATGAAGTATTCGCTATTCTCAATATGCCTCGGTAAGATAAATTTTTGTATATATATATATATATATATATATATATATATATATATATATATTTGCCTTTATTAATTAACTTATGTTGAATTGTTTTTTATTTTCTTAAAAAACTCCTGTCTTATACAGAAGTACTTTACGTTTATAAGGTTCGAAATACATGTCATACCTATAGACACCAATTGCCAACTATTTAAGTGTTACTTGCATATTATTTTTTTCGTCTTACTATAAGATAATATCACCCCCCTACTCAAGATTGAAGTCTTTCTCCAGATAACAAATCCATGCCACTAGTTCTTACTTTGCAACAGAAAACTTATCAACAGCAAATTTGCATGGGAATTTTCAAATTCTTCACCCATCCCTCACCACACTGTCGGACTAGAACCATTGAAAGGAGCGATTGAATCCCTTCGCTCTGTTTAAGGTGGGTTCTTTACGACAGACTAGTTGTAGGAGCTACTGCTAATAACAAATGATGGCGTAGGCATGTAGCCAAAATGTCATTCGAATTACTTAATAAGATAAGCTATTCAAACACATCTAACAATCTTTGTTAATCTTATTTCCTGCAATATTTAGATGTTATCATCTTACTCAGGATGAAACCATCCAACTTAATCCACAATAGAATTCAATATCTTAAGTGAAATTTAAAATTTAATCAAAAATTTGTCATCATTAACATTTTCGTGTAATCATCAAAATGCTGTTATAAGTTGTTTTAAAATCAATTTTTTATTCCATCTATTTTCCTATCACTGATAGTGTGTATGATGATACTTTTTTTCGGTTATTTGATCCGGTATCTAACATCTTATTAAAAATAACATGATGACGTTGATTCAGATTAGAATGCTGAGTCCTAATTTAATTTAATTTGTCATTAATTTGTGGATGTAAATCTTCACTAACTTGTCAAGTCAGAGAGGGTGCTGACATTAGAACTTAAAATAATTCTACGAAGCCAATTTGGATGTTGATTTAGTCACATGTAGGATTAATACCATTTA